CGACGACAACAGAAGCACCACAATGAGAGTCATTCACGAATAGTGAAAATGATAAAATCGGAAAACGAGGTATCAAACGAAATATAACGAAACGTTTACAACTGTGTAATTATAATTACGTCTTTCGATTATTTTAAGTATTTGAAACATAACCTCAAAAGAAAACAAGACATTGTGACACCGGAGACGAGAAAATAAACCTTAAATTTCACTCGACTCGTGGCCGACAAAGAGTTTCATCCGCGTTATTTCGTTAATATGCAGATATCGTGCGATTATTTCTTATCAAGAGAGCACGAAACGTTTCCACAGGAAGGGACTTTTGACGTAACAAGTCACACTAGTTCTCGGTTTACATATATAATTGTGTTCTTTAATTTTAGACTTGTTTTTTTACTGAAAATGACCCGAATGGAAGGAATTAGGTAGAAATTACTTACTATTCATTATTGTAACTTGTATTCTACGTGAATTATGGTCGGACGAGTAGAATGACGTAGCCGGCTGGCGGTTCGGGTAAAAGGACGATGGCGGCCGGGTGAATCGGGTAAAATGAAGCGTGGTGGCGCTTCGATCGATTACCCGAAGACCCGCCCGTTGAACTCTAAAAGGAACCCCCTTGAACCGTTGGATAATACCCACCATACATGCTATTTGCTTTATATATATCGCTGTTATTACACAAGTTAATTTCCCATCTTTCATCAAGTTTTCAGCTTTCTACCTCTCATACATTTTATCACCGTTTCAATCCACCTACTTCGAGCAGAATGATTTTATTTTTATATATCGTCGCTTTCCAAACAGTTCGAAACAACTGAAATTAGAGGACCAACGGTTCGTTTCAGCGCGAACATTTCGCTGTCCGGCGAAAACAAAAAGTATCGTGAGACCAATTGTTTATCGTTGAGAATCGCAACGTCGAAAAATTTCCATTCCGTTCCAGTTCCCGGTACCGGCTTCCGCTAGCGCGAGCGCGCGCCAGCACGATGCAACCCGAGAACCGTCGCGATCTGTTGGCGAAAACAAATGCAAATTCACTGTCCGCCGTGCGGTGTTGTGCCGTTGCTTCGTTATTACGGCAATTAATTAAAATTCCCGTCATTATCCGTCCGTGCTCCTCTGGCCCTGAGACCGTGCGTGAACCGCGAACGGACCGGTCATTTTACATATGCACCCTCAAAAAAGCCTTCTGTCGTATTTTCGAATGACATACTATTCCGATTTGAAATTACCGTGCACGCACATTAGCCGATACCGAACGCCTCGAACCCAGTGGTGCACAACCTTTTTCGCTAATGGGACAACTACTTCGATCAAATAATATTTTCTGCTGCTTTAATAAAACAATTACCAAGTTGGTGACTCTTTTTAGAAACGTAACACGGGTTCGAACGATCTCTGTCGATTCACAGCCAATACGACGTGGGATGAGTGGCAACCAACGATGGTTTATTTTGCATGGAAAATGGAGATGATAACGACACCAGAACGAAACGATCAAAAGGTATCGAGCTATTGGAGAGGTATTCAGCTATTGAGGCGGATCGGTTTTCTTGAATATTCCGACTATTTTATTGGTAAATTCCATAGAGTGCTAGAATTACTTGGATTTGAGACGTGGGAACACTTAAAAGAACCACAGTATATTTTTAAAAATTGTGTACAATATTAGGAACAATACCGTAGAGAAATGTCAATTTTTACGATTCCAAGAGTTTTATTTTTTCTCGTATGTTTACTAAGCCGTTTCACCTTTCGAAAATACACATTTTATAAGCGAAAGGTCAAAGAATAATACGATATTTTTTATTACAAGCTATTATATCGCTTTATCTTTACGTGACCAGCAGCTCGCTGGCAATCTACGGAACCCGTATCCGAACGTGACCTGCACGACGAGTATCATTAAACGTCCCGAAAGCAAAGATAACAGTGACCGATGCAACCCCGGAGCAATTTTCAGACCTTACACCGTGCGAACCACTCGCTTCTTTTCTACCGACAATTCCACTAGAACGACTCGTTCCACGACTCTATAACCAAAAATAGTCAAAACTTTAGTCCAGACCGGGGTTTCAAAAAGATCAAGCTATAAAAATTAATTAAACGATTTGTTTTTGTTGTCTTGAATTTTGTCTCCTTTGGGCTATCCTAAATGTATTATCTTCTCGTAACCGTAAAAATGGCTTTCCCGCGACCGTCCTAAATAATATTGTCCCGAAGTTCGCGGCGGCCAAACGCTGACGAAACCGTGTCCGATCGACTCCGCGCCGAGGGAAAACCGTATTTCGCGCCGCGGTTCAAAAATAGCGAAACCGTCGGGCGCGCGAACCGCCTCGTGTGCCACGGACTTCACGAAACGTCTCGTGGCTGCGTTGCGTTATGTAACCTAACTACGTGGTGTAACGGGGCGGTTGGTCGGCGGTGGGCTTTTACATTGCCCCGTTTCTGTGCCACGCATCCACCTTCCCCATCCCCCCGGATCCCCCCCATGCCCCATCCTCTAACCCGTCGTAGTTTCGTCGCTTGGGGACAAAAAAATCGATAGGCTCCCTTCCCCACAGCGCGCCACACACACACACACACACGTTCTCGCTTGCTCGCTCTCCCGGCGCCCCATCCCACTCGCGACTATCCCGCTCTGTCTCTGTGTGCTCTACCGTGCCCGAAGTTCTCGTTCTCTGGCTGTTCCTGGCGTGCGGCGACACGAAAGGAAAAAAAGAATGTACAAGCGAGTAACAAAGCCCGCCGGGGTTTTTTTTACGTTTATGCACATTTCCGCTCCCTCGCCAGTTTTTATGCTCCCCCGCGCCCGCCCGCCCTTCGCCCTCACCCACGCCCACGAGAGCCCACGAATCCGTTAGCGACGAAACACGCATCGCTAACCTTTGGATCGTTCGCAACGAAAGAGAGAGAAAGAGAGAGAGAGAGAGAGAGAGAGAGAGAGAGAGAGTGCCTAGCGTGCACACAGCTTTTACAGCCGTAGCCCCCGCGCGTGTAAAAATAAATTCGCAAATGAAACGTGAATTCGCGTCTGTGCCCGCCGATAACGAACGCCCGTCGCCGCGCGAGCGGAAAGCAGAGAACGTATCCGCGGGACTGCAGGATCAGATGTTCCCTTTGATCCCAATCGATGCTGCGGCGCACGCTACGCCGGACCGAAAGGCACACACAAACCGCCCCGCGTCGCCCGAGATTCGAGCGCTACCGAGAATTCTTGAGCACCGATGGCCGCCCGTCTCTTAACACTTTGACGGCCACTGTTACGTATATACGCGATTTCGCCAGAACAAACAGGGCTCTTCCGAACCGACGCTGGAGACCATAGCGACATCCAGAAACTTTAGAAGGCAAATACGAGCGAAGTGACGCCACCACGAGATACGGTTCCATTTATGCTCTTATATTTTTACGTCAACTAAAAAAATTACACGAATCCGGAGAAATTGATATACAAATTTTTAGAGGATTTCTCAAAATAATCCAGAGCCCCCTTATGGAACGAAAATATTATATTATTTTAATTATTCTGTCCTGTTTCTTTGTCGAACGGCTAACAGTGAATAGCCAATGTTTATTTTCCTTTGCTCCCGTGTTGCTCGTGTAAACGCGCGTGTTGGTCTAGCTGCTTCTAATTCGAGGAAAAGTAAGATCCGAGCCACTTGGGGCTCTTGGGGTTTCCTCGAACGTTCGAACAACGTGTTACGATAATTGTTAATGCCTCCCTTGTTGAACCCAGCGGTTCTAAAAAATTTTACGCCGTACCCCCTTTTTCTGGAAGAGAATGTTCTCTTTGAACGAAAATAAACGGAACTGGTGGTAGGAAATGTTGCGGAGTTTGGTAAAGTCTATTTTTTCAGAGAATGCACCGATGCACCTGCCGGATACAACTGCACAGTTTTCCTCGACGGGACCATATGCTTTCTATGTTTCACATACATCGATTTCTACCGTCGTTCATAACATAAATGTAACAAAGTTTGTGTCAAATATATTCATATAGAAAAATTTTCTATTTTCCTTCACCGTTTTCTAATGCATTTTTTGTTAAGCTACTTGTGTTTAAATAATTACTTTCTACAATTTAATTAGATTCTTTTTGTAATTGCAATTGGATAGAGACGTAATTCGATTATTTTGTAATTATAATTCCTCGTATAATTCGATTGTAATTCCGCAGAACTCTGCAGCGGGTGGGATCTAGTGAACCGTTTCTCTTTCATACACTTTAGGAGTGCGAACGGCGTGGGTCGCGACTTATAAATCACGTCGACAATCGGGGTTAGTACAGGCACCCTTGGAAACCTGTTCCACCGAGCGTCTCGTCGGGCATTGTTCCGCTCCATTTCGAACTTTCCTGACCCGGTGTATAGAAGGGTCGCGTCTAATCACACGTATCACGCATGTTAATTAACGGCCCGAGTCCTTTATACACTGCGAACAACGACGCGAGATAACCGTAAATTGCTTCCAATTTAACACGCGGTGCCCAACGAGGGACGGTCATTTGTCAAACAAAAAAATACTGCGAACCTCGTGTACCGGTCTCGTCGCCTCCATTAAACGGGGGTTTCAAGTAGTTCGTTGATGCGAACAACGACGCGAGAAACGCGAATTATTAATGGCGTTACTTTTCCAAGATTATTCAGCGAAACGAATATCTGCCTATATCGGACCATTTCAACAACACAAATTAACTTCGATTATTAATCATTATTTAAATATTCACGTATCGAAATTTCACTGTTCGAATATTGGATCGCGGTGGTCACCGGTGACCGTCGCGTCAAATCTACGCGTCTTTGGAATAAATGAGCTAACGAACGTTGAAATTTGTCGAGCAAAGCTGCCGTGGCGGTAAATGTGCTAACGCGTAACGTGAAAGTGTGCAGAATTATTTCTCGACATTCAGCCGGCGTACGCGACACTCTGTACAAACGAAACAAAATGGCAGAACTGAATAGGATTAAGTTAATAAGATAAATAAAAGTACTCACCTATTTTTCTCTAGCTCGTTATGAGTAGTCCTGCAATGGAAAGAACGTTCTTGTTAGACTTCGAAACGGTGAAATCGTTTACTCGCTGCAGCGAGGAAGAAAAAAGGGACGTTTAAAGTCGCGAGGTAACTTTTAAACGCGAAGGAGTAAAACGTTTCATCGAGCAGAATTTTACGTAAATGCGGTGTTGGATCATCCAACGGAATAATTCAATGCAGAATTTCCATATCGAGTGTGATCGTTTCGTTAACATGTTCCTCGATTTCCTTCGACTATTTTCTGGTTAAAATGTTATTTTTGAAACGCTAACAAATATAAATTTTGCAGGCATCCATGCATTCGTTGACATTAAATTTACACACCTAAAGATAATCTGCTTATTCGATCGAAACCATTTGTGCAGAAAATATTTTATTTTTTATTTTTTTAAAATAACGGTAACCAAAATTACTGCTGATTTTAATTGATCTGTTATTTGGATAAAAATGTGACTAACTCTGTACTGCAGTAAATGGCCTCCATCGCTGTAGAAGCATGCACGCGTCGATACGCGGTATCATTTATTATTTCGCGCATTAAACACTCCCCGGTGACTTTCTCGTAACATTGTAGGCGTTTTGCACACGTTGTTGCAGTCCTTAAATATGTCTCATCGATTTTAAACCTCTGATTATGGTCGACCTCGAAGCTACGTTCACCGCGTGCGGAAAGCTTTTTCACGCGTTGAGCGTAAATGGACATCGAACGCCTATAGGCGTTTCTCGCACTGGTCGACCGATCGACCGAACGCCTATAGACACTGCTTGTATTCAAAGAGTCAAGTTAACTGCACGAATAGAAATCGAAGACTCACGCATAATTTAAGTTGAAACTTAAAGTGGCTAGTATCTTGAAAACAAATGACTTCAGGGCACGTGTTTATTAAAAAATTTTTTATCAACATTCAAAATACACCTGTAGGTTTCCTACCGCGATTATCAATCGTAATCTAATCTGTTCTGTTTTAATACGCGTGAATAACGACACTTGACAATATTCTTGCAAAAAAAATTTAGTATTGCTTGTTTACTATTTTTAATTGATTTCGAATTTCTAATGCAATGTGTGAAGTCAATGTTCGATAAAAAAAATATTACTAATATTACATAATTGTGTTAGATTAATTGTTCGACGAAAAAATTCAACGCGTGGAGAAAATTGAAAGTTCGCGCCAAGTATTGGTCGGCACGAACGCCAATGGCGTTCCAAGGTCAACGTCAATTTTTTAAACGTACACGGTACACCTTCTATTCTAGAGAATGACAACAGGTTTCGAGGCAAGCCCGAGCAGCAAGGTCGCGAACATGTAACGGAATGACTTCGAAGATATCTCTCGTCAACCAGTTGAACGTCGAAATTATGAACGTCCATTGTGGAGAATGATAGAACCATATGCATGTTAACAAGTTAAGCGTCAAGGAACGACGACGGAACCTGCGCTTCGATTTGTTCTTTTTGACCTTGAATGACCTTGATGGGTCGTTGAACTGACCTTACAGGCGTTCACTTTACGGAATAAAAAACAATTTATCGAAACGAGTGGTTTCTTTAGTTTCTAGTTTACTAGTTGCTTCGTTTGAATAGACAGTCATTTAATTATTCTAGAGAGGTGCACTTTCACTGAAAGTCTAAATTGCATGAATTCCGTTCAAGAACATTTATTTTCAGTCGTCCCTGGGGAAAATTTTAATGAGAGATTCTAGAGACCAAAATAAGACGAAAATCAAGAATACCAATTTGTTGATCGAGGCTTCGTTAAAAAGTTATTAACGTTTAAAGTAATCTGCGAACCGCTGTTAGCGATTCTCCAACTTTAAACGTTAATAACTTTTTAACGAAGCCTCGATCAACAAATTGGTATTCTTGATTTTCGTCTTATTTTGCCACCCAGAATCTCTCATAAAAATTTTGTAGAGATGTGGTTGAATACCCTGTATAAATAATATATCTATACGCGCGAACTTTTATTTAAATCAACGCAGCACGGATCATGAGGTAACACTGTTCTGTATCACAGATTAAAAATAAATATTCCCGAAGAGGGTCCGCAGCCAGAACCGAAACGGTGTATTCTCTTGCTGACCAAATAAAATTTACATAAGTCTATATATAGAAGGCGCGGCAAAACTCGTGGTACGAGCGAAAACAAGGCGATACCTTGTACAGAAATAAGCCGAAATTTTTCAACGAGTCTTTCTCCACGCTATACACACCACGTACACCGGCGAGTAAAAAAGTTCTGCTGACGTCACAAAGGCCTGAAGTTTTAGCAAAATGCAGCATCACCAATGTCACTCTGCCAATCGGAAGCCTTGTGCCTCCTGTGATGTCACCGACAACTTTTTTGCTTCTACACATTTTCAAATCTCGCGGAAAGATAATGTTATATACAGTATAAAACCTGGTCGTTTATTCTTTACAATTGAGGAACATGTCGAACATGGAAGAATTTATAACCTGAAGTTCTTGAAAATTACTAATATTATTAATTTTCATTTTGTTTCCTAAAAACATTCTTAAAAAAAGAACACAGGAAGGAGAAAAAAGCGTAAATTAAATATAAGGCAAAAAAAAAAAAATAGAAATACTGATGAGGTTGTAATGTAGATACGCACCTGCTGCCCTGGGATTTTTTCGTCTTTGGCCTTTTTGTGACCGTCCGCATATCATCGGGTATCGGCATCGTCGAAGCGTAGCCATGTTCAGCTTCTGCAATGACAAACCAATCGTCGGTCAGCAGAGTCATTTGCAAGGCAGTCGGGGAAAAAACCGAAACACAACTCGTGGACTCGTGCTCGTAAAAATGCTGGTCAAAATTTGGGCGGAAATACATTCGTTCGTTGTGAAATATTTAATTTATCAAGAATCATTAAAAGACATTAAAGTATACCAATTGCTCTAAATATGATCAGTTCCACTAGGTAACCCAATTGTGGTCATTAATAACCAACAAGGTGCATGTGACCTAAAACGCTCAAAAAAAAAAAAAAAAAGCATTGACAATTTATTTATTTAAATGGTCGGATTTTAGTTGTCGAATACGTGGGTTTGTATTTTCGAATGTTAATGATGTTAAATGGGATAGGAATAACGAGGCTAAAAGTATTATTCGGAACGAAAGGGTTAAGAGCGCGGACGGGGGCCACGAACGTGGCGGAATAAAGTCACGTTCTGTCTTGCTAACGTAACTTACTATGGGCATTAAAGCCTGCGCGCAAACACCGCTTCGCGCTGGCAGCGACGATCCGCGCGCGTGCGCGCGCACGAAAAAAGCGAGATTTATGTTACGATTTCAGTTAACGCCGTCCCGGTGAACGAGAGCTGCGAGTAACCGCCTCTTCAGCAAATAAATTCGAAAGCGTAACAATACTGAGAGAGAGAGAGAGTGCAACTTCCGCGAGATTACTGCGATCAAATTTCTGTCGACGCTGGACACCGTTGATGGAACACGAACGAAGATCAACGTAAAACGAATTTATGAACTCCCCGGCGATTTTCAACCCATCGTTACAAACTATGTCCAAGTAAAAATCATTTAAAAATGTTACAATTTTGTTTATATAAAAAATAAGATGGCAATGTTACAATTTTGTTTATATAAAAAATAAGGTGGTAACCATGAGCGCAAGTGAGCCAGCGTCGCGCGCCCTCGGTCGAAGATAAAAATCACTAGCCAGCCCGTTTTCGAGCGAACCGACCGTCCCGATTTTATCTCTTGAAAACAGCAACCGATGTATCTATCCGCCGCCAGGAATTCTTCCGTTACATAAATTTGCCTATCAACGAACAAAAATAGCACTGACCGTAGATCGCCGCTAAAATCGCTCCAACCGCGAACGTACGGATAATTGTGCTCGAACGTCAATCGAGAAATTGATATTATGTAAGAGGACGGGCAAGCAGGAGGATCCGAGGACAACGCGGCAAAAACCCGACGCCGAAGCACCGCGGCGATACTGGTCGCCATAACGAGCGGTGTAAATTATAAATGCCTCCTTTGGCGAGTCTTTTGGCCCCGATCCTCATCATCGTACAACGGGCTTAATGGCAGCCGGTGAAAAAGAACACGCGCGGCCGCGACATCGACCATCTGTCCCCCGTGAAAGAAGAAAAGCGTCTCGCTCGCATGCCATGACCATAAGGCCGCACTCGCGCGTCATGCAAAAGAGAAATTCGCGTGGTGAATAGCGCGACGAAGTTACGCAGAGGGAAAGAGACGGGGAAAGCAGACCTTATGGAACTCGTTTTTAAAACCGAACGGGAGATAGAAAGGGTTGCAACGGCTATTTCCAAAAATTCGAACAAAACACGGAAACCCGTCTGTGCGTGGGAATCCTGGAACAAAGGATCGCAAATAATGGCCGAGATTTTATTTTTCTGTACGTGGCCTCCCTATTTTTTTTTTTTATCCGTTTACTCGTTGACGCTAAACTATTCGCTGAAAGCCGTTGCGGAGGCATTAAAGTTTTTTTAACGTTTGGGTGATATGTTCGCGATGTTTAATGAAGTCTTTATGAGTTTCTGAAACACGGTGGCTTCGAAGCAGAGAGAATTTCTTTGCCCAAAATATTTATTGGCAAAATGATTTTATTAAAGTTTATTGTTCGTTAAAATAATACGTGTGTTACCTCGAGGGGTTGAACGTAATATCAAATGCGAATTCGTTTGGCAGTATCGCGACGGGACGAGAAAGAAAAAGTTACGAAGGACAACTCGACGAAAGAAGTTGAGTCATCCAAGGTATTTCACCCGAGCGACGACTGAACGGGCAAAAGACAGTCGACCGTAGAGAGCGATGAATTAACAAAACATTCCGTCCCTTTGGAGTTCACCGATCGAATACAGCGCGAAGGCAAAAGTGCACAACGCGAAACCGTGTAACGCTCCCGAACGTCCTCTACACGCTGGTAGTGCGCGCGCGTGTGTATATCGTGCTCGTTAGCGGTCACGTGGATTTTTTTTCCGTCACACAGAGGCGAGGCGTGTCCTATTACGCCACGGGATACGCGTAATGTTTTTTCGCCGTTCGACCGTTGGAAGCACCGAATCGGCGAGGAACGAACCTCGTAGAGGTCAAAGGAAGTCATCGGAGGACACGAGAGAGAAACAAACATTCACGCGCTGCTCCCCTTTTCTATTTTTCTCTTTCCGTGGAGACGCACGGGGCGAATTGAAAACGCATTCCCCTCCGAATCGTCGACTATTCGGCGGGAGATTGCAGGAAAGTGTATTCCTCGACGAGCAACGGCACTCTTCGAAGTTTCTCGCGCACGGACAATTTGATTCGCCGGGACGCATTCATCGCTTAACTCCGTCGTTGCTCGATGAAATTCGCTAATGCCAGTCAGGACATTAGTTTAACGCTCGGTGAACGCGTTCACTGCGATCGGGGAGCCAAAGCCGATTAACACGTCGAGCGCCAGACCAATATTCCTAAAGCCTCCTATGAAATCAGAATTTTGTTTTCAGGCAATCAGCGACTGCTATTTGTTTTGTCAACCTCGTCGATATCGAGATTCGTTGTATTTAACGTTAAAATTAATTTTGTTAGATTCCTAACGACAATTCGTGTCACGTATACGTGGATGACGTGGCAGCAAATGTGTTAACAGGATCGCCCCCAAACGACCTCTGAAAGGACTAAAACTTGTGACTCACGTTTTTCGGTGATCCGTCTTTTGTTCAACGTCACTAAATCGAACGCTAACCCTTCTCCAACAGTTATGCTCCAAATCTGTTATTCGTCATCGTGCTTTCTGTTTCGCACAAAGACCGAATTACTCGTGTAGTAGCTAACGAGGGAAGGCACGTAGTCGAAAGGCATTATAAACCCATCAAGCACCATCGTTCGATTTAGAGAACATTTGGAAAAATATTTCTTACTGGCATTAACACTTTGACTGCCACGTCACCCATATATGGGTGACAGGATTTACCATTATGATACTAGAAAAATTAAGACGTTCAGGGAAATAAGTTTAGAATAGAATTTATGAATTTCAACGAGGTTACGATAATAACTGCCGAAACATATTTTAGGTTATGTAGCTTACAACGGTATAAAATCAACATATCACTTTTGCAGAATATCATACGGTTTTGATCTGTCAGTGAACGTGTTAAACTTTATACGAATATCGTAAACTTTTCTTTACGTAATTATTGAATTTTTAATAAAAATAACTTAATTCCGAATTGATTGAAATTAACAAAGTCAGTCGACGTGCCACGTACGTCATTCCAGCTCAAGGGGTTAATATTATGTCGCTTTGATATTGCATATATTAATATTAAACAAAGTTTTTCCGTGCCGGAAAGTATCATCGTGGCGCCACTCGTTTCTGTTAATTTTTGGTCGGAGCCCCGGCTGGTAAATTTCTAGGGACGCCGCTGGAGAAGACCGTACAGCTTCCACCGCTAATAAGCGGTTCTTTTTACACGGTCGTATCGTTTGGAAGCGTTTTTGAGGAAATCCGTGCCAAATAGGCCAATTAATATAACGTAACAGCCTTATCTCGCGTATCTATATAATAGTTAACGCTCGATCGACGATTCGCCGTTGATTCCCCTGTTCCCCGACGAGCGGCCAATAAACCGACGCGGAAAGCTCTTTCTGGGGCTCGGCCCGTCGAGCTTCTGCTCGTTCAACGGGCACACGAAACGTCCCTCGCTCGCGTGATGCGAGCTTGAACCGCGAGAGATCGATGCACACAATGGAGGGAGAGGAGAGAAACAAAGAAGCCGTTCTATCGGGGTGTTCGGTTGAACGTGTTACGTGACGCGCGACTCCGTACCACGCGGATCTTAAAAAGAAACAGGAAAGAAGAATTACGACACCGTAAATCTCGACCAGCCATTCGAAGGCGAAACGCGGTATCGCGGAGAAATGCAAAGCCAACCGTTCATTGTGATCCGTATATTTCGGTTATTTGCGTCACCGAACGACGTACAGAAAAATAACAATATTTATTATCAACAAATTAAAATAATCTGTAGCAGCGTTTCGATGCAGGTGCAAGGGCGCGAGATAGCAAAATTGAATTATATGGAAAGCATGTAACGGTTCTCGCGTGTTATGGTCACGGACGATGTAACGGTCGAATTTTTCTAGGGGAAAAGAGAGCGCGCGCGCGATACGAGCAGCGGGGAGAAGACAAACAGAAACGATCGGGTTCGCGAAATGCAAAAGAGAAGAGGAGAAAGATAACGCGCGATTTGGTACGTGCACGCGAGGGAACGCAGCAGCATCGAATATGACGCAGCAGTATTATAAGTGGAGTGATAAAATGAGATCATCGTTGACGCTTCTTACGCACTGCTGCACACGTACGCGGCGAAGCGACCTACGCACCGCAGCGACACACGACGACCGTGCTGCCGCTGCGCCCGGTGGAAAAAACAAGGCGCATATATTTGCCGGTATTTATCGGCATGGCCCGAAGAACGGGCGTGCGCTACGTTGCGTCAGAGGAGCAACACCATCCACGAAGGTCACGCACTCCGCTTCAAACTGACCTGGACATTTTTCGAATAACATTATTTAATCCTCGAATACTATAGCGGGTTACTGCATTCCCCACTTTCTTTTATTCCCGATATCAGTGTCGTAAATTTATTCAGTGTTGTGGCTTTCCTAATGTAAAAAGGAATACAAAATATTTTTTCTTTTATCGGGTAATTAACACATTGTGTTATATTCTTTTTAAAGAATTCAAATAAATTCTTAAGAGAACTCGATACACGAAACGAAACGCAAATTTAATAAACGCTTTTTGTTAACACTGCATATTTTATTTCACGGTTTGGAAATAGCCAACACGTTCCAATAAAGTGATATTACGTCACTGTTTAACAATTAGAATACAACTCTGTAGTATTTACAGGACGAAATGATGATAATTGTGCACAAACTTTACTGCATTTATTATTACGTTATTTTAAATAAACTTTTACTCAGATTTGGTACTAAATTCCACGTCGAATTTGTCTACATTCGAATATTGATAGAAATGTAAAAATACTGGAATAATCTCAACTTTATTCCGAAACCCGTATAAATCGAACGCGCGGAAGGATCATATTTGCATTCAGAGGGCGCATCGAAACTTATTATCCACGAGCCACGTGGAGGAACAGATCGAGAAAATTCTGATCGGGACCTGAATTCGTCACGACGATTGACAAATCGGGAGAAACCCGCCAACGGAGAACCAGCGAAGCGAAGAAAGGCGTAATAACAAAGGTCGCGTTCCGAGATCCAGTGACGGCATATGCACGCTAGTTGCCATGTGCCAATGACATTGCACATGCACAGCCGCGCACACAAGCGCGATTTGACAACGTTCGAGAATCGTAGAGAGAGGGGAGGAGAGAAAAAAAGTTTATAGCACCAGAGCGGTACTCACCTCTTTCCCTTCGTTCAATATACTCGGCGGCCTGTAGTAGGGCAGCAATGCTCATATTTCCCCGATTTGGCGTAATTCTGGCGGCTTCGGTTCACTATCTCTTTCCCTGCAATCCCCCGGCACTTGCACCGCGCGACACACAACGCGACGAACGTTCAGAAACGCACACGAGCAGCCCCGTAGACCGCGGCGATGTGTTGCTGTTGTTGTTGTTGTTGTTGACGTTGCTGGTCGGCGCTGCTGCCGCCTCTCGAACTTTTCTCTCCACCCGCCTATTCGACCGCCTCTCCTTCTCTTCCTCCTCTTCCACCGCCACCTTCCTCCTTTTCACGTACGTCCGCGCGCCTTGCTGGCTGCGTTCGCTTACGTGCACGTAACGACGGCACACACGAGGCTAGCACGATCTCCAACGGGCGCTAGATTCGCGTACGGCAAAGCGACGGCCAGGCCTCTCCAACCGCGATAGACATCAAGAACCGTCTTTTTTCTTTTTCCTCTCCCGATCCTCGCTCCTGTTTCTCGAATATATCGTTCTCCCTCCGTCGCCTGTACCCGGGTTCGACAATTTTCTCGTCTCTGTTTCTTTCACGTACGTCCCTTATTCGAGGTTCTTTCTCGCTAGTTCGCTCGTCACCCGTGGTATCTTTCCTCCTTTTTTCCTTAACGACGTTTCACTGTACTCGTGTTGCTTCTTCCTCTTCGTCTTTATATTTTTTTTTTTTCCCCCACTCTTTCTCGCTTTCTGTCTGACTTCGTCGGTTCTTCTTCTTCCTTCACCTTCGTTTCACAACATTCACTACGAATCACACCAAAACACCGTGAAAATATAATCAACGCTCCGTGAGTATACGAGGGCAAGAGTATTACGACGCGCCGCTGCTTCTACGCTTCCATACACGGAGTCGCGTGCGAGCGAACAGCCGAGAGCGTGGTGTTTTTCGCGATGTGGAAGGAACAAACGCGAACGGTACAATTGGAAGGAGGCACACTATGGCGAAGTCACTAGGCGGGTCGAAAGGGTCGAGATTACGCGTGTCGCCGGTAATCCATCGCGGACGAACGAACCGCGAAAAGGGAACCTGACCTCGAACGGTGGCCGGTTTTAAAACTATTATTTTTGGTGAGAAACGCGAGGTATCGGCGACGGTGCGCGGCACGCGTGTGTGTACGCGACCACTTTACGTGCCGGCTACTTGTTTTGTGCAGCGACCTTGAACGCGTAGATCTTACGGAGCCGTGCACCGCGAACACGAGAGAATGGTTCTAGATGTTGCGATACTCCAAACGTCCACGCGAACTATCGCGGCTACTAGCTATCAAGTTCGAACGCTTTTAATGCGAAAACAAGGAGAGCTGCTCGTAGACGGTGACGTTGCTCGACTTTTGTAAAAATGGAGCAGCGAGTGAATTAAATTGTATTTCGATACGAAGAAAACAATTTGCACGAATCAATTGCCCGTTTCCCTCGATCTACGGCGTGCAACTCGGTCAACTTCACGCGGGGTCAATGATTCCCATCAAACTCACGCACTGCAATATGCAATGTTCGCGGTAGTCGGCGAGACGAACCACTCGGTAAAGTCCTATGTCGATAAAACTGTAATTTACTCGTCAGAGAAAACGTACGCTGTCACGCGCGAAACAACGCACGGCAAATCTTCTAGAAACTCGCATCGTACACGGCCGATCGCGGGTACTGCTTTGTACTGGTTCTCCGTTCAGGATGAGAACACAAGAGAGGTGCTCCCTTGATTCCGTTCGCGGCCGGACTGCCAGCAATTTTAAGTACACATGCACGTCACACCGCACAAACACGCCCACGCACACGCGCGCGACCGTAAATGAAAATGCGTGTAGAGGATCGGTAACGAATGTGGTCCCCGTGCGAGAAATAGCAGCAACACGGTGGTGTACACGCGTCGACTGTGCGTGGAACGTTGCGCGAGTACAGCGCGAGAACGGACCGATACGCAATACGTGAAAGCAACCTCAAGAATTAGACGGACGTGTAATGCCGCGTATCCGACAATACGTTAACGTGCATTTCTGACAACGTTCTAACGTGGACGTGGTACCTATCGTCTTGTATACATGGCACTGGTTAACGCGTGCGTGTGTATGACGTAGAGGATCGAGTGTATTTCGACCCTATCGTCCACCTAGTGACATTTGGCACGCCGGATACGTTCGCTCACACACGAAAGTAGGCGCAGCTGAGCGACGACGTAAAGAAAGACGGTCACTGTGGATCGGCACTGCCTAACACTACTTCTGCACAGGTTTTCGCGGGTACAGAGAGGGGGGCTAGTCAGGACAAAGAAAAGGAGGCTCGAACTGACCGACGACGACGAGCCCACGAGCCCCCGACGACGACGCTACGACAAGCCGACGAGCGAGCGACAGCCTGATACCTCCGCACTTCGCGAGCACTCTCACGCATTTATCGATGTCAAACGTCTCTGCACCGTAGAAGCACCAGGCGTCGTTTCTTACGGGCCCGCCTATTGGCCGAGCGGTGCGCGAGTGCACTGCCTCGGCCAATCGCCGTTAACAACACGAGGCTGCCGTATGAGCCGCCACCAGCACCGGTGGTGTCACGTGAATCTCATGCCCGAAAACAAAACAAACAGCTGGCCGTGTTCCTCGTCTCGCACTCTTGCACGCTATCGTGCGTGTGCTTTTGATGCACGATATTCCTGGAGTACGTATCCCCTTTATTCCATACAATATAGAAAAATCAAGGAATCGCGTATTTAGGAGCAACGTATCGATAAAACTCGCCATTACCGATCAAATCGAAGAATAAGATAGTCAAAATCCGATCGATTTTTAAATCGCTTGTAATATCGTTTTGCGCTCCTTCTTACAGTTTATATGTTCCTTTTATCTCGCAAATGTATTGTACTTTGATATAGATACTGAGTGAGATACAAAAGCTTGAGAATATCAAGTCATTACCTTCTTATCTCGAGCATTTTAAGAAATGTGTGTTTGAAAATTCATACAATCGCGCCATCTTCTGTATCCACTTATCGTCACGCATAGCTTTTATAAATTGGTACTTCTGAATCCTCCGCGATCTACGTAGCGTCTATGTAATAACGTGTTTGAATAAGACGGATCTATTGTCGAAAATCGATAACTTTGTAGGTTGCGATAGTAAAAAATATATGCGGAGGAAGCTTAGAACGTCGAGACCTACAGATTTCTAGGATTCCCGTCAAAGGTTAGAAGAATTTCTACGAGGAACGTTGCTCGTGTACGAAGTTGTCAACGGATTTGTGAGTTTCATAAAATTTATAAATTCTACCTAGTTATTGTGACTTTTTTAATGAAAAGAGATGACAATTTAGAAAACACGTGGTCGAGTATTTATAAATATACATATATTCAAATGTCTTATATTGGTTTTCGAATTATTCGCGAGCGCGATTATTAAAATTCGTACCTTTACGTACCTACCATTTTACGATATATTTTCTACCGATACGTTCATGGAAAACATAAAATATTCGCGTTAGGAACCGAATCAACATTTACGAGAAAATTTTACCGAAACTTAAATAGTTGCAGGTTCATAATAATGTTCTGCTAATATCAGAATTTCTACTGTATTTAAATAACGAACTATTCAAAGTATTTACAGATATTGATTTTTATTGTGTTACATTCATTTAATAGCTTATAAATGTTCGTCTAAATAAATTATCGACTGAGTAAGTCGATGTATTATTAGAAATATTACGTGTTTTAAATAAAAATAACCTTTAGAAATGCCCTGAAACGTTGATAAATTTAGATCAAACCATCAAGCATAAATTATATATTAAACAAAATTATTATTAAATATTGGCTGTTCATTTATTTAAAATTCAAGCTAAGCGATATTAAATATTAGAGAAAATAATATTAAAATCGATCGCCAAAATACCGTTCCTTTCATTTTTTTATGTAACTATTTTATTCGATTTGTAAACAAAATATACATATTAGCACTTTCTATAATTTTTTTTTTTTATATTAATTTCTCGGTAATATCATTTTGATTTTTATATTAAAATTGTTTTAATTGCTTTTTATTACATTCGAGATACAGGAACTATATTAAGTAATGCAAGTGCATTTTGAAGTACAATTTGCAATGCATGCAGCATGTACAATCTTGCAATCATTGTCGGGATCAAATGATCATATGCATCCTACAACAGGAGAATAATTTATTACACAACAATGTTTATAGCACCATAAATAATAATTAACAACCGAACTTACAGTTAAAATTCTGATTTTACGATAATAGATACTAAATTTTTGACACAGTCTTGACAAAAACATGCATATAGCCTGTGGGTTTGTTTGAAAAACGGGTTCATACTTCAAACAGTCCTTTATCATTTCTTGGTACCCGATGATAAAGTTATAGATAAGTTCCCATTCTTCCTATGAATAATAGGTTTTGTAAATCATCAGGACTTTTTGATAATAACGATCGAATAGTTATTAAACAAAATACCTCTTGATGCAACAAAGTAAAGTCTACATCGTGGATATTTGGTAAATCGGGATATTCTCCTGTTAATCTTTTACCATTATATTTTTCAATGATGGCATTTATTCTTACAGAATTATACAATATAAAAGATGCACCTAAAAACTGACAATGATAGAAATCGTTTGTGTAGAAAGTTTAATGAACTTGTGCTAAATTAAGAATTTATAAGAACCTTTCATATTCGTGGTGCCCTTATCAGGTGCAGAATTATGTCCAATAACAACCGAACGACTCGGTTTTATAGACAGTAATTCAAACGTAGCTGTTGCTTTCGCAACATTCTCAAAGAAATGATTATCTATCTGTACATTGCAATCGTGCGTTTCAAAATTCTTTTGATCGTTCATTGCTTTCAGTTCGTTACTCTTATTCTGAATATAATCCTCCCATTTTAACTTTGTTTCCTTAGCATTTGATTCTAAATTTTTCACAACACCGCACACGTATTTTTTATAAGTTTCATCCGCGTTTCCTTTGGATTTAGTGGTGAATACTAATTTATAACTGGAATCTTCTTCCCCGACTCTACAACCGTGTAGATTCAAAAGATTTTCAGTGACACTTTGTATTAAGCATAATCTAGTAGTTGTGAGCTCTGACTCTTTGTCCCGTTGTACTTTAAACTTAAAAACTTTGTCGATCGACGAGATTCTGCCAAAACTGTGTCCAAGATCAATAACCGTCTTGATCGAATTTGCTACGAGCGGAGCACGATGCAAGAATAAACAAACACGTTCTTTTTCTAGGAAGTATCTTTCTATTTTTATTTGCCAGTTGTGGCTAGACGATATCAGTGACTGTAACACCTGTAAAAATTAACATTTGTCAATTCTGAAATTAGGTTATGTTTGATTTTTATAATATTCACATTCTATTGCAGTTTACCTGTTTTGCAACATCTGTATCTATCTTAACGTCTATATTGCTACTATGCATGTGTAAGAAATGTTCAAAAATTGTTGTGCACTTCTCACTGCATGTGTTTTTATCCTGCAACGTGCTTTTCCATACTTTAAGGCTAGGTAAAAAATATAATTCACCATTTGTTGATAAATTGTCATTGCTTACTTTAATAATCGAAATGTTTTTGCAAGCATTACCACTTAAATACAATATAATATTGTCTATTAATGTTTGTATACAAATGGATGATGAATTATCCATTTGGAGCTCTATGTGTAAAATACTTCAGTCTGACTAGTTCCATCTGCTTCCATTTATGAAACTATAATACCCTCTGTTCCTTTCATTTTTTTCAAAGGTATAATATACTATAGTATACTACCCATAGCATTTTAAAACTGTTAATAATCAGCATATCGAATTAGAAAATTTTACTAATTTGTTCTTTTCCAATGATTTAACATTGCAATAAAGTTGGTTGAAGCAGGGCGCACGGAATATCCGTGCCTAAATTAAAACGTAATTATTTCCAATGTTTTATTTATTAGAGACACAGGGGTAAATTGTGCAAACAAGTGATTGCAAATAGTAACATTAATATATTATCCGCTATACTTATAAATACGTTTTATGTATCTTACAAAGTCATCACAAAAACAATTTTCTATTTAAGCGTATCTAGAACGACGATCGATCATTAAGTAAATTATTCGGCCATAATACGTTAATAATACCTATAATTTACATTGTTCTTTGATATCGGTTATCACATAGAATGGTGGTATTTGACGTACGCTATCGCAGCGAGTTCTTTGCAAAATTCTTCCGTGACGATCACGCTTTCGAACAGGGTATTCTCCTTCCCCCTGAAAAAAAATGATAGAAAAATAATTTCACGTATAAATTGCTCGAGCGTAGAATTACCAACACGAGCTTTTTATTTTATTTCGAAGGTTAAACCTTCCATCAAAAATAGAGGATTCAATCTTGAAAATAACCCCAGGAAGATTATTGGACCTGTTCTCGTGGAGTTGTAATAATCCAAACGTTAACAACGCTTCGACCAAGTGTACCTATAGTGGGCAGGGTAAATTAACGTTAAAATTTCGTACCCTTCGTGGGTACAGTCCTGCAGCAAACGTTCTCGCGTCTCCTTCAGCATTTGCTTGTGATCGGGCGTCTTTGGTACTTCGTTCACGAGCTGCTTGACAACTTTTTGCAAGCAAGTGAACAAGTTTTTTGTGCCGGGTGCCAACGGTAGCAACGGATTCAATAAAAATTCATGCAGGTACGGATGAGGTAAGAGCGCCAGCCTCGAGATCACGACTGTTAGCTGCAGGTTGATCTCGTACTTTTGCCGCGGTATATTGGCCACCTTCTCGAACAGCATCGTCATAAACGGGCCCACGTAGAACCGTACGGAACAGTGGTCCGCTTCTGGCCGCGAGTCCGAACTCGCTGAGTCGTCGATGGTCACCGCCTCTAACGGCCAAGCCATCAACGAACAGTCTGTCAGCACAGTAGAATACTGCCTCTCCACGTCAGCCATGTATCGCTCGTAGTTGTTCACGTCGGTGTCTGTTTGCAAATAACGCGGAATCAGGGACAGGAAGCTGAAACGGAATTCGATATTGTATTCTTGCAACGATCTTCTAACGATTTTAGTTGCAATAATCACCAGTTTACGATTCTGTGAATGTTACTGGGCGCTAACGTTCTGCTGTGCCTCTGCTCGTACGAGAGCTCCATCAAGCCCTTCTTTTCTCTTTCTCGTTCGTCCTCCTCGTCGCTCCACGAGGCAATCGCACTGTCGGCGGCGGTGTTATCGTAATAGCCCCGCATCGACAAATAAACCAGCACCAGACAGTGCAATATATGCTCGTTCCTTTTCTCTATCATTTCCTCGAACAGTTTCAACGTTTCCAATGTCAAATCGTCGCTGTCTGTGAAACAGTTGTCTATCAGCCTGTACAATACGGGCGACGTCCACACGTTTGGTATTTCGGGGCCCCTGTCTTGCCCCACGAGCCAATAACTAATTTCTGGAACAATGGTTAACCTTGCACAGACTAGACAATTACGAGACGTTTCGAGCGCCAACTTCTCGGCCGCGCGCGGTACCTACCCGTGCACAGCGAGGCGGAGGTCAGTTCCTTCAAACATTTTGTGACCAACGCGGTGATGAGAACAACGTGATGCTCGGCCAAGGCTGGCGTCACGATGCTCTCGAAAAAGTTCACCCTGATGTTCTTCGCCAGTATTTCGGCCACGTCTGGATGCGCCTCCTTTATCAGCTGATTGCAATAATCGAACCACATAAAAAACGCGGCCACCTGCCTGCAACCCGAGAACTTCTTCTCCTTCGTCCACGCCGGCGAGTCCAGGCCCCACGTCACGTCCACGCTGTCGATCTCCGTCGGATCGACGTGCGCTGGAATGGCGTTGAACAGATTCTCTAGTCTACTCGATATCAAAAACGTCAGGTCGCTGTTTGCTATTGTCTGGGCGAACGACGAATCCTCCAGGGACGCCAGTACCATTATACCCTCGCACGCCCTTATCCTCACAGTATTGTCCTAAAAAAAACCTTACTTCAGAATGTATTGGATCATTGAGGATCGTTTTCATCCCCCACTTTTTTGCAAATTTAATCCTTCACTGTTTTGGCATATCTACCAAGCAGACGCAAGATACAGATACAAGTTCTGTTAGCAATTATGGCAGAAAGAGAACAGCAGTGTCATCACAATAGAGGTCTTTTGAAACAAGTCTGTTCCGTGAAGCATGTATAGCTCAACAAGACAAATAAGATCTCTGGGCTCCATGTTTTTGTTCCTTCCAAACGGTATCGGATGGCAATCCATTAGCTAGGCTATTAGACGATAGTGTGGCGTCACCTCCCATTCTCGTCGCCAGAGGGGTCGTTCTCACAAGCGCTCGACCGACCCCTCCGTTGCTATATACAGGGTGTTCGGCCACCTCTGGGAAAAATTTTAATGGGTGATTCTGGAGGCCAAAATAAGACGAAAATCAAGAATACCAATTTGTTGATGGAGGCTTCGTTAAAAAGTTATTAAAGTATAAAGTTCCACACCTACTGAATTTTTTCCCCAAAAATGCGCAAGATTTCGGGGGTAGCTCTATTCACCAAAAATAATTGTAATTGACCTCCGCAACAGAAAATAATTTTTCCAAAAAGATTTGAAATTTTTTTTTCCATCGAAAAATTTCACACCTTCTCGAATTTTTTTCTCGAAAGTGGATAGGAATTCGGGGGTATGTGTAATGACCAAAACTGATTGTAATTAACCCCCGCAGCCGAAAATAATTTTTCCAGAATGATTTGAAATTTTTGAATTTAATTGTTAATAACTTTTTATCGAAGCCTCCATCAACAAGGTATTCTTGATTTTTGTCTTATTTCGGCCTCTAGAATCTCCCATTAAAATTTTTCCCAGGGGTGGCCGAACACCTAGTCTAAGGCAGGACCTGCTAGAAAGCCTTACTGATCACTCCACTAGCAGGCCCAGGACAAAACCCTCTCCCCTCCTTTTCTATGCAGTCAAGCAGCGCCACAATAGTTTCCTCCACCAAGAATCTTTTTCAATTTGTTGAGCTATAGACCTATCGCCTCAAAGGAACATCCTCCTAAAGAACAGTTCATCCCCAAGACATAGCAAACGTCACCTCCATCTCAAAACACGTTGCTTACCGCAGTGTTTATGTAACTCAACAAGGCATCTAGTAGAAGGCATTTGGATTTCTGCGGCGTCTTCGAGGGCAATAGGCTCTGATCGTTCGCCGCGCAGCCGGCGTCCTCGAAATCGTCGTTGAACTCGAGGTCCAGCCGCAGGACTCTGAGGTTCTGCAGGTGGTTGCCGATCTCGTTTATCAGCGCCACGTCCTCGCACTTCTGCGAGGCTTCGTAGTCCCGGGACTCGCCGACCGAGGCCGCGGCGCCAGAATCGGAATCACAGACGGGTTTCTGCGTGGCGGGACTCGAGTCCTGCGACGCGTTCTCAGCATCCCTGGAAGATACCGATTCGTTCGACCGGCTGGTGGTGACCGTGTTGTCGGCCTTGCTGGACGATCTGTTCGACCCTAAGGACCGTCGCCGGTCGTTCTTCGAACTGAACAGATTGGGATTGATCAGCGTGACCGTCTGGCTGTCCAGAGGTTCGAACAAAGGATTGTTCCTTTTGGCTGGCACGTAGGTGACCTTCTCGATTTCCGTCCGTTCCTGAGAAGAGTTCCTTCTTGGAGCTACGTGGTGCCTCTGGGCCGTCGGTGCATCGTTTATCATGTTGGTCACGTGGGGATACTTGCACACCAAGAAGCACAGCGTAAGAAGGAACTGCACCTCCTCAGGTTCCATGGGGGACGGTACATTCCCATTGCATAAAGAGATCAGCCGCTGCACCGGTCCGTAGATCGACGTGTGGTGCAACAAAGGGTACTTTGATCTTCCTAGCAACTTCCTCAAGAATGACATGCAAACCATCCTCATCCCTGGGGGAGTCTCAGCGCCGGCCAACGTGGCCAGCAGGTCCAGCAGCTTGTGCTGCAACAAGTACTCCAGACACGGACCTGGCTCATTCTCATCCTTCTCCTCCTCCAACAAGATCTCTAACAACTTGTCCAGGTGACGGGGTATACCAGTCGTCTGTATCGGCGCTTTGTAATTCGTCAGGTGGTTCACGTAAAAGTTCATCAACTGCTTCCAGTGGTACGTGAAGTCTTGCAACGGCGTGGCGGGCGGCGCTATCTGCAATCAACGAGGAAACGTTAGTAAACAGGAAAACGAGTCGGAACGATAAGCGAAACAGGAGATTGAATTACGTCATCCCGCGCGTTATTGAAAAGAACGAAATAAGGCGCAAAACACGGCAGTAAATTATTCAGCGTGCACATATTAATGAATCGCGTCAAACCAGGGCAGGTGCAATGTTAAGCTTTAAACAATTACATAAGAGGCTAAATTTAACGGCGCACATTGTTCGACAGATCAGTCCGCGTCGATATGAGAATGGACACTGTCGAGACACACGTCGATATTATAGGGCAATTTGGGCACGTTTCGATTGCGTTATATTCTAACTTTCACTTTCATAATCTTCTTTAATTATTCCGTGTTCATTTCATGTTTTTGTCAGTTTTCACTTTTTTCTTCAAAATCCTGCTTTAAGACCTGACCATGTTTTCACTATTAAAAATATATTTTTAATTCCGTATTCACAAATGTATGGAGATTCTTTCGATCTTAATTTTCTTTAAACCTTCCGCGTTTAATCGCCAATGAGAGCCCAATTCTTTATATTAATAATTTTATTATCGTTCCCTCTTCAGGTTACTATTTACTCTGTGTCGGAATGTAATCTCATGGTCGTGGCGTAGTGTCAATAAATAATTAAATTAATTACATCGCCTTCACACGATAAAACTAAATACAAGATACCCTTATCGGGATTATCTCGTTTACTCGTGAAGAGCGAACGGAACAGACGGAGACAGAACGCTATTGTTACGCGTTCGTAACATCTTTTTTTTTTTTTGCTCTGTTGTGAAAAAGAAACATTCAAACGGACCGGGAAGAACGAACGGAAATAGGTGGGGGAAGATATGTGGGTGCGGAACTGGTTTATTGATGGTCAAAGGCACGGCGTGCGAATCGATAGGCAAAACGTAAATAAATACAGAGACACGTGAGACGGTGTGAAGCGCGGCGTGAAATGTGGAGAAATCGCGGAAATGTAGACGGTGACGGACGAGTACTGGTTTGAATGGGCCTTGCGTTGTTTACTACGATCGGGGAAAAAAGAATGGGAATGATAATCGAAAACGCACGTTACGCCGTAGTACGTGTAACGCCGCGAGAAGATAAGCATATAGTTGCGCGTGCGAGAACAGAGCCGACGACGCGACGTTGCGAACCATTGTCGATGAGGGGGTTATCACTCACCACGTCAATGGCATTCTTCAGCGCGATTTGAATGCCACTAATCATTTTCATGCACCTTCTGTTATTCGTACGCGTTTATTTACCGCTATGCACGAGCCTCGCCCGGTACTTCCACAGCTCTGCATTATTTTTCATCGTTCGCTCGCGAACCAACCCGTGCGATCGCTCACTGTCCGCGACAGCGAAGCTTTGCGGCTTTGACGTGTCGCGTTTACGGCTGACGGCCACGGTGGGGCGACACTGTTGACTACCAATGCGACGAACCAACACGTTCGAACTTCGAACGTAAAATGAGTGGAGTGGGGAGGGTAAGAGGAATTGCACGTTTCGGATGCGGTTCGTTAATGCTAATTGACCTTATCGATAAGACTCGCTTAAGAGACCTTGCATTTGACATTTAACCTTAGACGTTGCGGTAGTCGGATTCTTTTTCCGCCTAGTGGAATATACAAATTCGGCGAGAATTTTCTATTTTCTATTTGGAGGAATATTTTTCTGCCCCGTTGGATACCAATCGATAAAGTGATTCTCCAAATTGTATTTATTTAGACGATGCAGATCGAAAAGTAACGAAACTGACTCAACCGTCGTACCGTATAGATAAATTGGCACACGCAGAATGTGATATAAATACAAATAGCAAGAGAAATGATATAAGAGTTATGCTTTTTATTTGGGGAACAATGTTTTAGACCATGAACTTACAGCACTATGGGAAAAATAGTAATAAAAATTTATATATTTAACAATGTTAACATTTTGTAGAATAACCTTCTTGTTGTATCGCTTCGAACAGTCATTTTTGGAATCGTTTTCTCTTCTAATCTACTTCGAAAATCTATTTTAATAGTAATTGAATATTTTCGTACTTTTTTGTCATCTAGTTTGTTTATGATTCATTCTACTGTGAAACGTATTTTGTAGGTCCTTTTCCATCATTTTTCCATTTTTTGTCAAGGGATTATATAACATTTTTTGTCGAAATATCTCATACACGTTTATTGATGTTTATGAAATATGTAAAACTTTTTTCAAAGAGAGATATTAATAATTAAATTTAAAAAAAAAAACACCGTCTTATGGTTCTCGTGGGCCCAGCCATTCTGTATATTTAAAATACAAAAGAAAGTCAATAATTAAAAAAATGGAAACATTTCGAAATTTAATTATCATAAATAAAACATTGATTTTAGTACGGGCTACAATGATACTGAATCTCGTGCCAATCGGTTAAGCAGATTTCGAGATATCAAGGACGTGACCTTGAACGCCCAATTAATTTTGCCTTAGCAACTACAAGACGAAACGCTTCCCCCAATTCTTTTTCTCCTACGATTTTCAATCGATTCGAAATCGAGGATGGATCTTTGGAAATGTTAAATAAAAAAGAAAAAGAAATAATAAAATAAAAAATATCGTTCGCTCGCGAACCCCGTGCGATACACGGCTGGTAAAGCGTAAACAGGGTGTACGATGATTTTTATTTTGCACCTTGAACGTGTACACATCTTAACAACATTAACCAGTTCGTAAGTGTAAAAAATGTCGCGATGCTCCGTCGAAATGATCTGGTCTCGACGATCCTCTTCATAACAATATCGCCAACTATTGCCAAGGGCGTAGCCAGGATGGGGCAAACGGGGCCCTTCAAGCTATTTATAAATAAATAAATTTCAAATTTTTTTTTTTTCGATCATAGCGTCGACAAGAAAAATTACAATCACAAGCGTTCGTTATTTTTTATTTTTTATTTTTTATTTTATTCTAGAATTTTTGCCTATTCCTAGACAAAAAAAGTTCTGACTACGCTCTTGGCCGCGAATACGTTACGTTCCAACGAATGCAACACAATACGCGTGCACGATTTTTCTAACGTCGAGCTGAAACAGATCGGGTCTCTTTCTCGGAGCTGTTGATTTCCCTTACGCAATGTATCGAGTGTAATCCGATGCTCGACCGAGAGAATCATCTCGTAGGAATCCGCGACTTTGGAACATTCTCGATTACTCCCTTCGTTTTAGTTCTTTTAATTTCGTTAATACGCTACGACGCGCGATACGCCCGTGTCGACATCGACATGTATCGCCAACATTCTCTAACGTCTAATAGAAGCCACGGACGTAACGATTTCTCGTGCAACAACGTATGCTACAATGCGATTTAACTATAATTGTTAAGTGTACAGGGGTCAATACTTAACCCTAGAAAAACCAGGAGAAAATGTGTTAGATAAGTTATTTTTCTTATCCTACTTTAAAAAGTATCATTCTTTTCTATAGTTACAAATTTTCAAAATAGATCTACTAAAAGAAGAATCTACTAAAATTAATGTAAACGTTGCACTCGTATTTATGATATTAAAAATTACACCTCTTTGGATCTCCTGGTATCTCTAGGATTAACAAAGTCTTGACTCGAGATGAGGGATTAGGGATGAGATTAGATGCTCAGGTGATCTTCTATAGGTCAATTGCCCAGTTAACGAGTGTCAAAGATTACCGAAACCAGAAGATAAGACTATCGCCTCGATCAACAAACTATCCAGGGTGTGTAATTTGACTCTAAACTAACACTGTCACCGAACAGGCTCGTTCCAGTGCAACAGGCTTAAGATAACATGAAAAAAAAATTACAGAATTTGCACACGTGTTTCACAGAAGAGACTAAATTCTTCCACGAGTTGAACATGGCTGACTCCCAAGTATAATTCAATAAGTTTAATAAAAAGTTAAGCCAGGCCTATAACCTAGCTAGGCGATCGTCGTTTGATAATTGTTCGAAGCAAGACTAATAGAAGGATGACAAGAACCGAATCAAAGTGATCTCATTTATTTCGTTTGGCTATAACTGTCGCCATCTACCGTCGCACGATAAATGGTTGCGTCTATGGTTCCTATAGGTGAAAAACTTTCACGGTGGTCGGCGACTATCGCTGATCGCGTACTCACCGGCTTCAGTCTCCACAGTCGTCGCAGCATGGCGATGGTAGAAAGGGGGAACGAGGAATCGGAAGCGCTCGACACGAGCACGGAACCGGAGGTCTCTCGAGGTAGAATTCGCGAGGAAAATACGCTCACCTGTATTCGACTCTATAATATATTTCTTTCTTTTTTTTTTTTTTGTCTCTTTTATCACTGGTGTCACGCGCGGCCTTATCGTAACGACGACAATAACTAGTACAAACAATAAAGAGGCCTGAGCCCTCTCTTACGATCGCGTCTACGACGTCGAACGTTTTGTCTTGTTTTCGCGCGACTTCGTGGGAGGTGGAGGAGGGGGGAGTGGGGCGGGGAAGGCGACCATCTTTCCCCCGTTTCGTAATCTACCGTAGGAACGTACGTTGAATGGCAATCAACGTTTTAAAATAAAGTACACGTTGCGACATGCCTCCGTTTCGCGTTCGTGTCGAGATATTGTACGTCTCTTTTTCTCTAACGATTCGAACGTAGTCGCACGCTCTCGTGTTTTTTTTCGTTTTTCTTCCGGGTCGTTTCGCGCGAACGCCGCGACCGTGGCCCTACAAATCTAAACATATTTTTTCAAACCGCCTAAAATCCCTTAAAACGGTACTACTTGTCGCTAATAAACTGCATGTAAAACACACTATTTCGCATTCGTTCGTCCATTCTCGCATCGTTCGTCCATCCGTCGCTCGCTCACGCGCTCTACACGTTACGATAATATTACTGTAGGATGAAACAACGATACAAATCATTTATAAATCGCTCTATGTGAACCAAGGATCCGTCCATCGAGCGTCTCGCTCTACTTTTTCGATACCATCCGATACAGACGCGTTTCGTGATCCTTGCAATCGAATACAATAATTCCTTTCTTTCGTTGCAAAATGAAAATTTTATATTTACCGTATCTTTGTAAAAACATTAACAATAGATTGGCGAGGTTCTCCCGATGAGAATGAGCCCAAACACGACCACTTTCGTTAAAAGTCGGACGAAATTGTTTTTTGAAAAAATTCCAACTAAACGAGAAAATAAAAATCGTCCAAACTGAGCCGTGTTTGGACTCGTTTCCATCGTGAAGACGTCGACAATCGATTCCCAATGTTCCCACGAGGATATAATGAAACATATAAAAAAATTTTACTTTCATCAGCGAATGAAATTTGATTGCATGGAGGGGGACGTGTTCGAATCAACATAAATGATAATGTATGAATACTTTTGTCCCAGCGAATTCTGATCGTCGTGTGAATTTCAATCCATATTAAGTTACTAAATGATATTATTGCCTTTATTTTTTTACTCGTTTGTTGTTCTAAGTGTTATGTATGATATACAGCAACATATGTTTGAATATAGTTAATAATATAGAAAATATTGTTGCTTTTATTTCTATATTCCAAGTGTACGAATACTTCTATCCCCCCACTGTATGTACAATTTTAAACGTCGTCACGACGATCGAATCACTCGCCGGACCGCGCGACGAATCACGCAACGAGATGTACCATTGTTCTCTTTTTTTTTTTGTTCTTTTCATCTTTTTGTTAAATTTCTCTATCGTTGTTACGTTTCGTAAAAGTAATATATGGGAACGGACTCCCATTTCAAATAAATATATATTCCAATCAACTGGACCTCTGTCAAAGAGCTTCAGGTTACGCTTTTCGATCCGAGTACAATACAAATTTGTACACTGTGTGATGTACGCTCGACCTTTTTTTTTCTCTCGACACATACGTGTGTCTCTGCGATCCGTGTGTACGTGTATGTAAATGATTCTCGTATAGGTGTGAAAATTTGTGTCGTTACTGCGTAAAATAACTTAATTTAAGCTAAATCGAACGGACGCGGTTCAGCCCTTAGCTTCTCTGCGCGGCTACCGCGGCTACTAGCGCCGCACCGCGGCCGCTACCATCCTCAGACAGCATTAAATCGAACTGTAACACAACAATTATTTATTAGGTTCAGAAAACTGTTACGATTCAAGAATCCTTCGATGGGGCCAGAACAAAATAATTGAAACGTTAGAAAATAATTGTAACGACTTTTAAAAATTTTAGATCTAACTTTGTTTGAATATCGACAACTAATACTCTCACCTTATGACTCTGTAATTGGCTAATTTTTTCGGTCATAAGATCGTGAAAGTGGGGGTGATATCTGTAGACCGAACCGTCGATCCCGACCGTGACGTTGTCCTCATCGATTTTGTTCAGTAGCACAGCGATTCCAGCGCTGGCGAGGTGAGCCGCCCTCCTCGAAACAATGGAGCAAATGTATCTAACATTCTCGCAATCCTGATCGTTCACGTTTTGCATACCGAGTTCCCCTAAAATCTGACGACAGTTCATGTAATTTCCTTTCGGGTCGCTGAAACGGAGAAACGGTTGAGAATTAAATTAACGATCCACGAAGCGAATCCAAGACGTAATTTCAAGTTAAATATTTCTCGGAACTGGGGGTTGGGGGGGGGCCCCTTGGAGCCAGCGAAGCGTGAAAGACTACACGAGCTGGAGCGATGGCGACGATTTGTAAAGCATGATAATGCTTTCTTCTCATTCTCTCTCCTTTTCTCTGGTTCTCGGACTACTGTGACCGTTAAAATAAAAAAAAAGCAATGGCGACTCCCGGGGCTCAAGGATATCGTCGTGTATAAATATCTGTCAGTGTCGAATTTCATCTTACGGATCATTATTGTAGCGTGTATTTAGGTGGGTTATTCCGAGCGAAAGGGTCAAGTGTCCGAACCTGATAAATATTCAGATGCACGTTGTTACTTACTTTTCGATTTCGGATACGTATTTGGTGAAGAATTTGCCGCGTTTCTTGAGATCGGTGGGACACCTCCCGCCAAAGAGGAGGCCACTGTTGACGGCCTTTTCGAGAACCAACCTGGCCAGCTCGCCCATGTACAGACCGGAGATCATTTTCTCGAACAGCTGCCTCTTTGGATTGATCGAGTTGTCGTCGATGTCATGATCGAACTCTGTGAGCACGAAATCGAGGACGCCACCTTCGCCAAACGCTCCCCACTCGGTGTTGATTAGCATGTGTGGTTTCTCGGCAGCGTAATTTCCAGGTATCGCGCACTCCGCGTTCTTCACCTTCTCCACGTAACAGGCATTGCTACCCGTCCCTAAATTCGAAGGCTAGTTTAATAAAATGCATCGGTAGGTTATTAAAAAAAAAATGTATGCACGTAATAATTAAATGGAATCAAGAAGAAATCTTGCAGAGCCATCTACAATGACGAAGGGTTCATCCTACAAATTCGTAACGTTCGACGTTCTCTTAGCGGAGAAATAAAACAAAATTTAAAGTGAATTATTTATTATCCGCGGGTTACGTAATGAATTGTTAATATCGAAACGATAAAAATAGACTTCGAAAATAATCCGATATTCAACAATCTTATCGCACACAGAAAGAATATATATCGTTTGTATAATCTTTATTCCTGTTTCGACCAAACATTTTCACCGATGTTTTTCGAATGATTATTTTTAAACGTCTCGGTAAAAATGAATAATGCAACAATTTGGAAAATTCAACCCGCTGAACTTGGATTATGATATACTGCTCGGAATAATCTGGGGGGATCGAACCACTCAAACAGATTTTATCTCTCGATATAGTGCTCGATGATTAGTGAGACTCGATATGTATAAATAAAACTGTCGATAGTTAATTTCTTTTACTTGGCTATTCAAAATTCAATAAAATTTAATTCGCTACTCATTTTATTTTACGTAGATTCATATTGCAATAAAGAAGAATTATTTATTAGCGTCGAGAGTAATAGTAATTTAGTTCATAAATTAATTTGCACCCTTTATATTTAAACCGTGATTCTCCAATTGTTTCGAGAAGTATATTATTCTGTTTTATGTACATTATTGCGTACCCACCCACAATCAGTCCAATACGGCAATTCCTGTTTTTCCAAGCGCATGACATCAACGTTCCGGTGGTGTCGTTCAAGATGGCGCACACGTCAATTTTCACATCCTATGCAACAAACCAAAGTTAGCACTGTCATTTTCACAACCAGTCGCATTCGTTACGAAAACATAGACGGATTTAATCGCCATTCGTGTTTATTAAAATTAGATTTTATACTTTATGAAAATTTGTTAAACTTATTAAACATAATAAAATAATTGAACTCTCGTTAAGAAAGAAGTGAATTTTGTGAACAAGCACTTACTTTTCTTCTTTCTATCGCCTGTTCGAGAAGAGCGACGACGTCCTCGCCCACCACCCCCGCGCAATTGAAGCCCTTCGTCCACCTGACGAGAATACCTTTCGTCAATCCGTACTGAGTCAACGGAAAACTGAACGTAAACCCGAGCGGTAGAACCTGATCCTGCAGGTTCAGATCTTTCACGAACAGGGACAGACACTGGGCTATGTGATCGAAGAGTTGAGTACCGGAGCCCAGCATCAGACTCTGGGATATCGCGTAAATTTTGCTCTTCATGTCGAATTTCTGGCCGTCCAGAGTGATCAGAAGCACCCGGAAGTTCGTGCCGCCCAGATCCAACGCTAGAAAGTTGCCCCTCTCTGCGAACGATACGATTAACATTCCGAGACTCGTCATTATACCATTGGGAATGAAAAGTGTGACGCTTTAGTAAAAAGTTCTACGGTAGAGTTCCGATTATCCGTCACCCGAAATCTCCGAAAATCGGGCATATTTACCGCAAATTTCATATTAATTAATTAGTAAATTGTATTACTACATTACCTACGTGGTTGTATTTATTAAAAATTGAAATCGAATTTTTAAGAAAAATCGACAGGGGGTAGGTGCCCAATTTTTCGGCGAAATTGAAAAGTTTTGAATCGTTCAAAAAAAATTATTTTTAGTTGCAGGGGTCAATTACAATTAGTTTTGGTCAATAAACATCCCCGAAATCTTATGTGTTTTCGAGAAAAAAATTCGAATAGCTTTTGTAATTTTCTGACAAAATTAAAAAATTTCAAATCGATCTGGAAAACTTATATTCGGTTGCGGGGGTCAATTACAATCATTTTTGGTCAATAGACACACCCCCGAAATCCTACGCAGTTTCAAGAAAAAAATTCAGGAAGGTGCTCAAAATTCTCGTTGAAATTAAAAAATTTCGAATCGTTCCAAAAAAATTATTTTTAGTTTCAGGGGTCAATTACAATCATTTTAGGTCAAAAGACATACTCCCGAAATCCTACGCAGTTTCAAGAAAAAAATTCAGGAAGGTGCTCAAAATTTTCGGTGAAATTAAAAAATTTCGAATCGTTCCAAAAAAATTATTTTCCGTTGCAGGGGTCAATTACAATCATTTTTGGTGAATAAACATATCCCTTAAATCCTACGCGTTTTCGAGAAAAAAATTCTTGGCCGAAAATATAATGTGTGGCCAGAAATGTCTACCCAAAATTTCATGTGAATTTTTAAAACATCATAACTTTTGAATGGATTGGACGATTTTAATGTTTCCAAATGCAAACAACGCGTATTTTTATGAAGAATATATGGATATTCTGTATAATCAAAATTTTCCTTACCAGTGCCATTTGGAAGATCCTGTACGTACGTTGTGAAACATTTCACAATCGCACTTTCGTGCGTTTCCTTCGATAGTCCCTTGTTTATCTCGCCATTGAGCTTCTCCATAACCAGTCGAAGCTGATCATCCGAAAGGACGAGGTCCTTGCAGATGTCCTTGATCTGCGAACAAATCGAAAATTTTCATTGTCGATCGATAATCACGTAACAATGACACCAGGAGCCCTCGAACTATTCTCCGATGCATTATCTATACGAATGTCGTCCGGTGCAGCTGCATTACATTGCATAACTCCACCCGATACGTACACAGAAAGAGAGAGAGACGCTGCTGGCATCGTTTTACGCATTTTTCCGATGCACGGCCATTTCGAGCGCAGTGATTACTATACATAATGCTTGGAATTGATCCCCTTTGCAACTGGAATAAATTGTATATTCCCCCAATAGAGCAAAATCATCGTTCTTCCAACGAATAGCGGAGTCTGATAACTCCCTCAAGAAACACGATATCGATTATTGATACACGCGTGGATTTAAATAGTAATTGCGGCTAGACGGAAGGTCACGATGCAAAGAATATGCTCTTCCGATTGCTTCCACGATTTTACAAAAAAGTAATTTTTTTATTCATAGTTAATTAATTCATAATTAATATATTTTCGAATCGAGTAGTTTGTACTCCCTGTTGGAAGGTATAAAACAACTATGCAAAATTTCATTCGAATTGGACGGAAGTGGTAGGAGTTATAAGGGAATCACAAACACACAGATTTAAACTCTAAACGCCAACAAAAAAGCAACTAACCTTTTAAACTTTTTAATCTATGATATATTTAACGAAACTTAATAAAATATATATATCATGTACATAATATATATATAAATAAATATATATAATGTATATAATATATATATATAAATAAATATATATAATATATCTGAAATGCGTTATTTCGCCACTCACGTTTCGAAGAAGACATATTTCTGCGTTGGAGCATCAAGTTAATGACTCAACGTCGAAGGTGTTACTGGCGGAATAGTGTCAATCGATTCTATGTACGAAGCAAGTTCCAAGAACGTGTTTGAGATTGCTCTAGCGCGATAGAATGCACTTTGAAGTTTCGTGTGCTTGTTTGCATGGATAAGAATGTCCGGAAGAGTCGTGCGCGGCCATAAAGAGAAACGAGAGAGTCGAGAGCTGGCGCAGAAAGTGTCGGGAAAATTAGGCGTAGAATAATGGTTGCCAAGTATCGATTTAATAGACATTCGTTATCACTTATAGATGTGTCTATACGCAACCTAGAATGCAAACAGGTCAATTCGTTTGAAGATTGAAAATTGCTGCAATTGAAATCTTTTAAATAACATAACCTCTTTAAGATGAGAATTCTTTAATAACTTTCGCTATTTATAATCTTCGTAATTTGTTACATTTTCCCCCTTTGAAAGACTCGATTTAATAAACTGATAATTGAACAATTTTAATTATTGCTCTATATAAAATAATATGAAAATCGAGTCTGTATAAACTGTATTTTCGACATTAATTTCCGCCATTTTGATCGAGCAACTTTGTAAGAAATGCAATAAAGTCGAGTGACTGCTTCTATTGCAATGAAACATGATAATCACAAATTTTACACATACTTATCACAATCACGAACAAGGAGTAATGCGAGTTATATAAGATAGGAACCTATCAACACAAAGGAATTTAACGCCACTTGAAATTATTGGTGCATGGCAATAATGCGTGTACAGCAAAGCTCTATCGATACGGTCTGATAAATTTTGGAATCCACTGGAATTCATGGCAAATTCACGTTTATAGATTCACGCATATTCTACTTTGAAACATATTCGAAATTTATTAAAAATTCTGAATTAATGAATTACATCAAAATTATTATTTTTATTTTACAAGGATAGATGCAACCTGTTCGAAATTGTTATAAAAAATTAATAGCGAATAGTAACGCTTCTATTGGAATACGTAACTTCTGTATTGTCATTGTGTATTTAAAGTACATATTGAATTATCTTATTGAGCAAATAAAACCATTTCCCTGGCATGATATTTCAATTATTTTATCGGTGTTGACTTTAGCGTCTCGATATCACAAAGAATACAAGTGGATGTGAAAGCACAAAGGAAATAGGAACCAATTTCGAAAAAATTAATCTTAAAAATAAGTCGTTAAAAGTTTGCCCGTCTGTCAGCGCGTGGCGCTCGTGACTAGTATTTTTTCGGTGCGACGCGATCCGCGTCAACTCGAGAATCGTTAGCGACGGTGCTTTATTTTCATCGTACGTCGCGCCACGTAACACGTGTCGTCGTTCGATCTGGCAGCTAGCGCTCGTGATGCGTCTTTCCTCGCTCGATCGAATGTGGAACGAGTATTAATAACGGGATGTTACAGAAAGAAAGAAATGTAGAACGACAGCCCAGTAAGGAACGATTAGAATCGTCGCTGGAAAATTGAATCGACGAACGAAACCATAGTTCCCTGCAACGGGTAAGAGGGATGGCGCTCGTGCTGGATCGTGCGTAAAGATCTCAACCCAGATACGTGTCATCGTCTGTTTACGTTCTTCGAACTTCGAGCGGCTGATAACTTTTGAAATGCAACCCAGCAACCCGAACCCCTTGGTCGATAAGACCAGTGCGAACTAAAATGTTTTATATTTCCTATAATATATTCGTGAAAGTATCGTGAATGGATTGGCGAGAGTTTCTCGATTAAAATTAATCCAAACACGACCACATTCTGATGATTTATATGTTGCTCGAATCAGTTTTTAGAAATGTATAGTTCGGGCCACGATATAGCGAGGTCGTAAACTACACTCTTAAGGGTTGAGACTGTATATGACATCTTGCTTGAGGGTGCCTTCCTGAATGTCTTTTTGTGTCCATAACTGCACTACCTTTTTTCATTTTCTATGTGCATATATTATAAGCAGGTAAATTAAGATATTAAAGACTTGAGTAAAACCTATTATGATACCTCTAATTTAGACTATGGTCTAAGACCCTTAGCTGCTCGAATTTCTGTGTAAACTTTGACACCTGCAGTTTACGACCACGCTATATCGTGGCCCGTACTATACAACTACTATTATAAAAAGTTGTTCGAACACGGTCGTGTTTGGTCTCGTTTTAACCAGAAGAAACTTGCCAATCCGTTGCTAACACTACTTTGACGATCTAATAAATTAGATGGCAGCTGTGATCATAAATAGGAATCATAAAGTCATCTGCCTCCCTATAAATACAAATGACGTAGACTAACATCAACATCTGCTATACATTTAAAAATGACGTAAAATTACATCAGCGATTGCGGGTACGTTCAATTTAAATTTTATTTTATTTCGCACTAGGTTTTATATGCGCTACATTTGGTACAGTGTTTTTATTTATTTGTTCGGAATATCACTGCCACCGAATCGCATAGATTCACAAATGATATTCCGGTACTGAAATAACAGTTATTAATGCAATATAAATTTTTGTACTTTTAGTTTTTCGAAAATAATTGAAAAATTATGTAAATAAATTAAAGTGATTTATTTTTTTAGATTACGTTTATTACGACGCGAATGCATTCGTTCCCGCGTTTTTACATTCGCTGCTTATTAATCTTAAAACCGCGGAGTCAAGTTCAAGTATAATGTAACAGTTCAGTGTAAATTGTGCCTTGCGTCATGGCTCATGGAGCAGTTTAAAAAACAATGATGATACCGAGTAAAAGTTCGATTTTTAAGTAAGTTTTAACTGCGAAAGGGTTATTATATTTTCTTCAAATTTCAATGATGGAAAGAAAAATAATTTGAAGATTTTATAACAGTTAAACTGTCAAATTTTTTAATTTTTTATTTTAATTTTAACTTTGTAAATTTTTGTATCATACGTGTGGCCTGTCATTTTTAAAAGATTAGCTTAAAAATTTGAACATTTATTGTAAATTGATTTTTTAATTAATTTCAAAAAATCTACTGCACACTTATAACGAGAACACTCTGTACATGTGCTTAAAGATTCTAAATTATTACTAATGACGCGCGAATTTATACATTCAACGATATTTCCCTTACTTATTAACATTGATTTTGCAACGATAGTAAGAAATGCGCATAAATTAGGACAACAGCGCACAGAAATTTATTTTAAGAGAGAGTTGCTTAATACATATCGGTCGCCTGAGCCTAATATGTGATTTCGCGTACATAATACCTGATTTTTATTTAATTTCTGAATTCATTTTGTATTAATTCGTGACACACACACAAAGCTACACGATTTAATATATTCGTCGATTAATCGTTACCTGGTCCCAGAAGAAATCCAACGATTCGACTGTATTTCATACAAAACGAAAAAATGACCTACTATCTAAAGAAGCGTAACCTCGTTATACAATGTTACGTACAAAAGCGTTCATGCAGATTCCAGAAACATCTATCTTTTGTAATCGATACAACAGTGCATAAAATTTCTTTTTTATCTACAATGCATTTCGATTTTTTTTTTGTTGATTATTTATAAATATATAAAAAGAAAATTTTCTCCTATTCAATTTTTTCGTATGCTCAGCCATTTATTAGAAAAATGCATGCTAATAAACGCGCGGACGCCGTGTATACGATAACCGAGTGAATAATAATTAATCGACATTTTACTATCTAATCATACGTAAAACATCGGGAATATTGCATCACCTATCGAAAAGAATTCTCAAGGGCAACGACTAGCCAGCGTTCGTTGCTTGTTCGGACGTTCGAAATTCCCGCCAATTCTCTGCGCCGTTACCACCTTCGTTTCCTTCAAGGGTATGGCATTGATCTGGCCGTGACATCATCGACACGCCCACCGAGCCAGCCAATAGGACTGTTTTATGAATGAGTGGTACAGTAGGTGCACGGCGCGCACCGCGTGCACGCTACAGGAAGAACGTGCAAAGGCCAATGCACAGCGATTCGTCTAAATGCACGTGGCGGTATGTATTTACGGGGGGATAAGACCAACCGGTGATCTTTCACGCGTTTACATTTATGCAGTACATAGTTTCGTATGGAAATGTATGCGCGGCGATAGGCATACAGAAATACTTCCTCGTCGGAACGGACTTTAATAACCTTACTGGGACATTAATTCACAAATGGGCGTTATTCGAATAAATTTTTATAGGAATCCACTAAAAAATTTAAACGATTCATTGTTCTTGATTGGAAATGAAATTTACCCGACTGTGCATCGATTCCTTCTGGGTCGCGTTTACAATTAGCTCAATTATCGCTGTCGATCGAGGAACAAGAATTTCACGAGTAGCGTGGAGTGTCAAGGACAAGCAAAGAAAACATTTCTCCAAAGCGCGACAACCTCTTTCGCGGGATAAAATAAAATCGATCGTCGCATCTGACGAAAACCATGCCCATCGTGCACACGTGCATCGATGCAACACGTTATGCCAGCATAACCTCAAATATCGAACGTTCCTCCCGGTTGGTGTTCGTAACCCTTTTTTCGATCGATACTTTCTTCGTAAAAAAGTTTGTTACGAAACGAAATTAATACGTCATCAACTGCGTTACGCGTGAATATTTATCACTGTTCGGTATATTCTATGGGACAGAATATTCTTGTATCAGTTTAACTAGGTTGTTAACATAGGCTACGGAGTCTTGACTTCTTGGTAAACGCTAGAGACTCTAACCCAACGATTGAAAACTCCTATGACATAATTTCGGTTCTTCAAAACTGGTTCAGTGAAAACCTTTACATAACAGTTAATAACAGTTATTTTTGGACTCTTTCAAATCTCTGCTTCTAACCTCAAGCTTTGTAGACTCGTACTTAGCTAGGACTAAAGATTTTTAAAAATTGCAAGACTTATTTTACGTATCCGCATAAATGCATTTTTTAACGAAAGTACAATTTTGTTTTAGTGGCACTTGGTTCCAAAGAGCCACATCGCAGGTCAAAGGGCACCGCCAGTTCGGAACTGCAGATTCATTATCAACGACTGAGTAAGTAAAGAAAAAAAAAAAAGTCAATTTTTACAAGTCTCGAATACCGAATCGAATTATACAAACGTTTATTGATTCTCGATACGCACATTGACACTGGCGATGGAATATCGAGCGTGCTACTTTTCCGCCTTCTTTTCACAATCGATAACAAAATACACTTTACGCGACGTTCTGAGATAAGCCACTCGGTTGACGATTCACTCTCGTGACAACCGGTGTCGTCGATCGAGCAGACGTCACGGGCCTCGGCAAATATTTCGCAACAGAATTGCGACGCTACTTACAGTATGTACTTGACAAAAATATAAAACACCTCGCACATTTCTATTATATTCTATATTTCAAAGGGAAAATGTACATTTTACACATCCTGTACACTGCATACCGCGTCAAGAATGAATATAAAGATTTTTGAGTTCGAAGGACATGCAGCGAAAAAGTTGAGGAAAAAAATATTAACATAAGCTACTTCGAGTGGACAAAATTATAAGACATTAACAAAAAATTGACATTTTTTTTTTTATATCAGGCATTCTGTAAAAAAAGTTTTCAGATAAAAGTTACTTCGTGTGAATAATACTTTTTTTTGTATACAAATTAAATGTTGCGTTGCTTCGCCGAATGTATCAGTTAATGCATCTATGACGTACGATATCTCACTGCACTGACTTGTTTTTGCTCGATGCAACGATATATGTAAATAGACGTGAGATGAACTATGTTCCTATTCTCATTGTATCAACGACAATGAAATTTATGGGTTCCGGAGAAGGAAGAAACATAAAAAAATTTGTGAAAATACCGCTTGTTTTGAGCCTGTAAAGGTGGTGTAACCCCTTAAATAAAGTAGATCAAACAGATCACTTAAATGGAATAGATAAGTTAACATTTTTGACGATATTGAACGGTTGGGCCATTCTAAAACTTCAACGAGCAGGATATATAAAATGTACGATTTCTTTTAATTATAAAGAATATTGAAACTTTCCAAATGTCTTATATTTTTGTCCAGTACTGTATCAGTCGATAATGAAACACACGTTTAATCACCCATCCGAATCCCATCGCTCGACTACGAAAGAAATACGGTCGTCGTGGCATTTCGCACTGTTGAACACGTTTCTAATTAAATACCACCTGGTCTGTGACGAGAAACGTACATCGCGGTATATATTATCCGTCGAGCACGTTTCGAAACCGACAGCTCGTGCGCGACGACGCCGCGAGTCGAATGGAGAAACACACCCCTTATCGTGCCCTCGCGAATGATCGAACGAATTCTATAAACAGAGAGAATTCCCTGCGTCGTCCCAAGCGTGCGTTCTGTACGAGAAAGGAAAGAAAAAAAAAGCCGACACGTTAATGGGATTCCTGCCGCGAACTCGTAGGCCACGTCTTCCGTTACACGGATTATACGATCTGCGTCTCACCTCCTGCTTAATCATGTTACTCGAGGATATCTTCGACATTTTCATTGCACCCCCCTCGTCGTTGCACCCCGAGCTGTTGCCCTCTGGAAGCTTCGTGTTTGACGCGTTTACGCGCACCGGGCCAGACGAAAAAAAAACGTGCGACGCAGCACGTTTCGTGGAATGACACACAAGTTCCGGTTTCCTTCGACGACTCGTAAACGCAGGTTAACCACGCGCCGCGTGATAATTGCTATGTCTCGCGTTCGAGCAGCGACGTACGATTCACTATCCTTAACCGTGTCCCACGAGTTTTATATCGCGACTGCGACCAGTGACGGCATTTGAGGTTATTTACGTTGAGTGTTGCCAGATGTGACGTATTCTTCGCGCGTGCGCCCTGCGAAACGCAGCAGTAAAGTGCATCAATCCGAGCGGAAACGGGTATCGCGTGAACCCCCGTTTGGTTATCGCGTGAAATCACTCAAAATTTGTTGAAAAATGAATGGAGCATGGTTGAACAATTTTTCTAAATGATTAGAAAGTAGATCTCGGTCCCGATAATCATGATACTTGTGATTTTACACTCGCTGATGCTTTTAGTCGACTTATCCGCTTATCGGGATCTGATAGACTTTTAGTATAGCCTGTAGTACTGATTATTAGAAATCACATCATTGTTGGACTTTATTTGAATAAATTAATTTTATTCGTTATTCGAAATAACTTTTGTCCAACACTGGCTTTCATTTATTAAACAGTACAGAATAGTTTCTGATTCTTTTTAAAATGCTTACACGTCCATTGGGGCTCTCTGTTGGCTATGCACGTAACTATATCCGCCGCACATGCGCGAAGAATACCTGCTCCACGCGCGTATTTAAAGGTGCATTTTTACCTGACGCTAACAACAAGTCATGACTTCTTGTTATCGCATAAGATATCATTCCTTTAATGGCCGTGTAAACTAAAACTTGACATTGTCGTAATCCGAATGTCACCCAGAGTCGTAACATTAAAATCGTAAATACGGTTGGGATAAAAGTGTCACGATACGATGGTAACGAACATCACGATTTTTAATGTTATGTGAAAACGCACCTTTAAGTACACACCTCCATGGATGAACATGCTGGATAAGCGGGTTGGACGAATAGAGGCACAAAATAGACGGACGACCCACTGACGAAGCTACAAGTGATATCTCCCTTAATAATATTTAATATAGTGTTTTTTTTTCTTCCTTCAGAAGAAAGGTTCGAATTCAGATTCAGAAAATTCGTGGAACCGATTCGACGATTTGAAAATAGTTTAATCGGTTTGAAGTATCATCGAATTTTGATCGATCAAGTGCGAGGAATTTGATAATGAATTACCGATGAAATGCGATGGGACTTTCGTTAAGCATTTGTTGTGATGAATGACTGGCTAAAATTATGTGCGCACGATCGCCTCGATAAAGTTATCTAATTAGATTGTTGCTGACGATTCTGTTGTTTGTACATTTGAACTGTTGAAAGTTTGTTTTGACAATATAAATAACAAATCAATGCAAATTAAAAATTATCCAAAGCAATAAAGATTTTGTTTAAAAAATCATATCCAAAAAGATACCAGCCAATGATAGTGAACCAAACGATACGGTATCTTAAATCAATTAATATTGCTAAATTATACAGCCCGATAAGACCGGAAACGTTTGACAGAAAAGCTTTTACGGCTCGATGTACATTCCAGTTCATAAATTATTACAAACATATATTTTCAACATCGGTGATTGATGTACTAAATTTTACTTTATAAACTATTTTGTTTCGAGCAAATCGACAGTTTGGATTCGAGTGAAAGATTCAACCATTTTGTTTTGTCACTGTGACTAGTCTATTTACGAACGAATTCTCTGCACGCGTGAATACGAATAAATAAAAATGAAACACGATGAAAATTGAACAGTTGTTGCGTGAAAGGTGTATCGAGTTCGTCGTCGCGTGTTACGGCACTGGATTCCGGCTGTCGTGGTGGGGGTTCGGCGGTAAGTGGGGGTAACAGACTTTCTCACATTCGTACACTCCGTTACGAGTGGAGGAACATTATCGGTGAATGTGCCGTGAGCTGGATGGGGGCTCGTCCTCTCAAGGGCGTAAAGGTCACTCGATTCCTCGGCGGGACGAATTCGGCGGAACCGTTGCATCACGCGACGCGTTTCCATTACGCTACTATTCGCGAGACTTGCGTAGCTTTCATCATCGTCGTACACATTCGAAAAACTATACCGTAGAAAAGGAAAATTCGACGAAACTGACCCGCGATTAGATTCGTGCGTAAGTAACCTCAACGATTAGATAGATTTATAAAATTTTCCAATTGCGAGACACGTGCACGGGATCGTACCACTTGTTATTACTTCACGTTTCTGCTCGGCCTAGATAGTGTACGCGACTTATGGATTTAATAATGCCATAAAGCTGGTATTAAACCATCGTTCCGCGTTCAGATAAATGCTATTTGTTTGTAGGTTAATGCAGTTAAATAGTTTGTTTGCTGTGTCGCCGCGACGAGTGCAAAAGGCCTCGTTTGCTTCGTTGTCGTTCGTCATCCGAGATCTCCGTGACTCTCGAGAACCGACGAATTGGAAACATTCGAGAATTACGTGCAAAAGAAATTGAACATTTTGATCTTGCGTCCGAGTGTGAACGTTATCGTCGCGATGAATGGCGAAAACTTGGAAAAGCAATATTATCGGCCTCGAGCCCCCTTCTTTTATCATTATTGTTATTGACGTTCAAAGTACCAAGAATATGGAAGTTATTTTCGCAAAAAATTTCGATAAGATGTACGATAGTTACGATATCATTTGCTGAAAGATACTCGCACGTTTAACACACACTCGAGCGATTAACATTTCGTTCGACACTGTCGACGATTACTAAAATCTTTTATCGTGCCCGGTCTTCCTGTTTCTTCCTTTTCGAACTGATCAATGAAGTAGTATTTTTATCAAAAATTATTCTTCGTAATTAAAAATTAATTATTTTTATTTAATTCAATAAAAATTAATTATTTCTATTTAATTCATTAAAATTTATTCCCATTTTAAACCAAAAATTTTCTGCGCGAAATGAAAATGAAAACCAAAATTCGATGATCGATACTCGCCTCGATGGAATGAAATGTTAATGTAGTATAATATTATACGATCGAGTATGCGTCAATCGTTTACAGTACAACGATCGACGACAATAACGAAACGAAATGTAAATTAATTAGGTGGTTAGTATTACATAATAATTCTATTACATAATAACGTAACATTTATAATAATAAATATTCCAACTGTAAATCTGATGATTCATTATTCACGAAGAATAATGCAACATCAGAATTATGGTGACCTAACCTGACCTGCTCGAAACGACGAGTTCGTCGATTTCAGTTTGAAACAGATTTCAATGACCCCCGATGATCTCGATGACCCACTAATTATGGACTAATCGAACAAACGTTTGTTTGATTTCCAAAATCTAGAAAAATGTAAATTTCAAATGGAGACGAGTATCAGGCGATTATATCGTAGTAGGTTCGTAAGTTTCATTCGCAGATAAGCCAATCGACGATAAATATTTTGCAAGACATAGTTGCGAAATTGGATAAATTGTTCCAAGCACTGGATTTGATTTAAAAGATTTAAACCAATCCATATCCATTTTAAAATTCAATTATCTTGAAAATAAATAAATTTTATTTTCCCTGTTTCATTTATTTTTTTTTTATATAGAATTATCCCATTTTCCTGTTGTGAAAAGTTAATTTAAGAAATTGATAATAAATCAATCATATTTTCCTTGTTACCATCGATCGGTTCGAAATGATTATTATAATAGTCTTTCCTGTTGAGCTGCGTGTATCCTCTGGAGATTATATTACAGTTTCCGCGAGGCACGCGATATAAATATGTATTTCCGTCCATTGTGTTTTCGAACGGCGCACGATTCTCCCGTTGTTCGTGTTATAATGGATGGCGAACACGAGCAATGAACGAAGAGTGAAAGCGAACGATCCGCGATCGGTAGCATGTATCCGATACACGGTCGATTGCAACAGCTGCTCGTAGTTGTAACATCAAGCTCAAAATCGTTCTCGATAAAACGCGCGCGTAATAATGGAATTCCTACGAGTCACGATTATTAGCGAGTTTCTTCATAGAAATACGTGCGATACGAAGCCGAGTGATAATTGCTCTTCTCCGCGACGTTTCACCTTGAAGAAATTGTTGAAAGACTGGGACGAAGTAATCGAGTCGAAGTTTTGTTAATTTGTAAAAAAATTTTTAATCGTCTCTATATTTCCTCTATAAAAAATTGTCACCATATTCTCCATTTTCCTGTCCATCAAAAACTGTTCAGAATTATTATAATTCTTAAACTATCCAAAAATTATCCAATTCTTAAATTAACCTTGAAGAAATTATTAAAAAATCGAAACGAAATAGTCGAGTCGAAGTAAGTTTTGTTAATTCGTAAAAAATTTTAAATCGTCTTTGAAAAACGATAGAGAATATTCTTTAAAAATTGTCTCCATATTTTCCATTTTCGTGTCCATAAAAAACTGTTCAGAATTATATATTTTTTAAATTAAATTATCCAATAATTATCCAATTCGTAAATTATCCTTGTAGAAATTGTAAAAAGATCGAAACGAAATAGTCGAGTCGAAGTAAGTTTTGTTAATTAGTAAAAAAATTTTAAATCGTCATTGAAAAACGATGGAGAATATTCTTTAGAAATTGTCTCTATATTTTCCATTTTCCTGCCCATGCAAAACTGTTCAGAATGATATAATTCTTAAATTATTCAGGTGGAAAAAATCTTATTAAAGGGGACTCCCCTAGTTTCTTCGTCTCGAGAATTCATTCAAGCTGACTCTCCTTCTTAAACCGCTCTACCTACGCAAAACAACTCCTGCACGTGTCCGCCGTGCCGTCTGACGACAAAGAAACGAAACGTATCAGGGAACGTGTTATGTAGTGCGTGACTATTACTGCGTAACGTATAATTATTCACGGTTACACAATGTTGATAAACAGCTTGAACCAGTAAAAAGAAGCGCGGTTAATGCGCAGAATCCGATCGCCGGTTTATTGAAATCACGGCTCGCGAAACGAAATTATCGGTCAAACGCATTAACGGCGATAAAGATAGCCAATACATAGCGAAATGTCGTAATTGTGTAAACTGAAAGCACCTTAAATTTTAGCTATTGTATTTCGAGATATTCAAATGCATTTAAATATTATATGATTTTTTAGGTTAACTGCATATAGTTCTGTTTAA